CTCATTTAATGCTATAAATAATTGCTTTAATTAGAGAAATTTGTGAAATTATGAATATATACAATTAGCCGGGAGTCAATTAAGTGCTTTGATCTTAACATTTATAAGCAATAAAAATATTCAAAAACTGCAGTTAACCGATTTGCAAGCGCATGTAGCCTTCGTTTAATGAATAATGTCGGGACTAACCGATCCAATAATATATATGTCTTTTCAAAATAATCCCTTATTTTTCTTCCTCTATTTACTCTAATCTACGTCATCTGATTCCGAGAGAGATATGCACTGATAAGAATTCATATCTGATACATAATTGACGTAACTATAAAAAACTCAGATAAATTGGCTGTTAAAAGGCCTTTCGTAATAGTGTAAGGCATAAACGAATTTTTTTCGATTTATGTCTACTCACTACCACACTACCTTGCATATGATGTTCCATTGAAATAAGAAAAGATTTCATATGTGATTGAACTCGAAATTCATTACGGTGGTGATCACTCTGCCATGCCTTTTTAATGAATTGTACGCACACTCGCGCCTTATCCATTTTACGCAAAGTTTTTTTTATATCTCCTTCCAAGCGATCTACCATCCGGGTCCAATCTATCAAATATCATTAAATTTTTCAACCTTTTCTGGCGGGATCGTTTGTGCCAAATTTTTAAAACGGAACAGTTATCCCATAGTACTTACCTCAGACTATTTTTTAGTTTCTTCACTTTTTATACTCTACATCATTTGTGGTACAGGGTATATTAACTTAGTGCGGTCGTATGTAACACGCAGGAGGTCTTAAGATGGACCCACCACCCACCCATTTTTTATTATATTATCGTTTTTGGTTTTTACACCAATCAAGTCAGAATTATTTTCTAAATCGATTTAACTCCATTTGCCTGTCTTGAGTTCTTGTTTTCAACTTAAATGTCGCAATATTTGGAGGTATTGTGATGAAATTTGGTGCGCTGGCCTGTTTTGATTACAGGATGAGAACGATATTAAAAATGATTTAATAAATTGGACTACTTTTTCGACTACTTTTCAGATAACGTCTTATATTGAGTAGTCGTTATATGTATAATTTTGAAATGGGGTAGGGTATTTAACGGTCGACCATAACTCACTGTAGTGTTTTTGATTGATTCATCGTATGAATATAACAATCGCCTTAGTAGCCGGATTCACGGATTCAAATCTAAACTGCGACGGAGTTTTCTCTGGTCGTAGCTATAGTGAGTGCTTGGTCGGTAAAGGCATAGATAGCACTTACCCATCGGGCACACATCCAATAAGCAACATCCATCATCTTCCTATTTCTTTCTCTTTTCTCGTTCTCTGTCTTTCTGACAGTCAACGTGTTACACGAATAGGGGACAATCTACCTAAAAACAAAAAAAAAAAAGGAAAGTTTTTCCGCTTACCCGGAATATTAACGAATATATACGTATTAGTTGAAATTTTGACGATATTTCGAAAAAGTATTCTTCATGGTGATCTGTTATATATATAAAGATGTAAAAATTTTGTTCTGTGTTTTGTTTTATCAAAAAAAATAAATAAATAAATCGAAAGCGTTTAAATGAAGGCTTGCGGAAGAAAGTTAAGTGAAAAAATATGGAAGAAATTGATTCTGTTGATGATCAACAAAGATCCGATGGACTGATAATGGATTTTGTTGAGAGATAATCATTGATTCTTATGTCTTGAAACAAATGTCTAAGGCACGTTATAAGAGTCAATTGAACTCGACTGCCAATTTCTTTCAGTTGAGTTTCTGGTATAAGTGGAATAAATAAACAAATGTTTAAGGGATTTGTCTTACCTAAGCTTAAAGAAATTGACATCAGTAAGATATTTACTTTCAACGGTATGGAGCTAAAGGAGATGTCACGGCTGAAAACATTGATTTATTGAAATCAAAGTCATTAGGTCGAGTAATTTCACTAAACTCTGGCATTCTTAGGTCATTCCCCATATGATTATAATTTAAGACTATTGCAGTATTTTCTTTGGGTGTATTGACAAAATCTATTCAGATTATCGAACGAATACTACCACTAATGAAATTAATAGATAGATTAATATGCTGATGTGAGGAGGAAGTATCGAAAATTTTAATTCTCCTGTAAGAGTTTGTAAACGCAGATGTGGGTGGTAGACATTTCAATGATATCATATTTATCATATTTAAAATATGTATAGATTTTCAGAAATATTTTAATTATTTTTACATTTAGTTTTGGAAAAATCAAAAAAATCTGTATACATAAACGTGTCTTTTGAATAAAACCCCCATCATATATTGTATAGATATCTTAGATATGATCCGACAATGAAAATTTTGCTTGTTTTCTTTCCTCGGCTAATCAATCGCTACTGATTCTGATACTGAATTGGAGTTCGTTGTGCTTTTGCCGATTGAATGGATCTAACTAAACTCGTTATCGATTAGTTTGATATTTCAAAGCCTAATACAGTAAACGAGTCTGATTTATGCAAAAATATCTTATTCGTGCCTGTTAAGGAATTATGCATAGACTCATTAGTAAGCGTCTAACTTGTTAATAGATGGCTATGGAAATGAACATTAATTTATTCATTAAAAGAAATATTTATATTCATTCTATTATTTTAACTTAATCAATGATGATGACATAAATAATAGATTTTTGTTTTTTTATATATGAATAACTATAGCATTTCAATGTACAGCTAAACGCATTTATGCAAAAGTGGAATTCATAGCAAATAGGCTAACAATTGTGATAAAAGCCGAAATCAAGGTCATTTTATAAAAGAAAATAATCGAAATTTATTGTACTGTAAGAATTGCAATGTTTAACGATTAAGCTTTAATTTGATTAGAAATTGTTTTGTTTTGTTTTTCGATTTTGATTTTGATTTCCATCCATCGTGTCTAACTTATACAGTTCGCTGAGTAAACAGTACACGAATGTGTGTACCAAGCTTACAAGCTCTTTGCTTCGAATAACATTACCCAAGCTAATAATATTAATCTTAATTATAGAAAGAGAGTGTGTGTGAGAGAGAGAGAGAGAGAGAGAGAGAGAGAGAGCTATTTTAAAAAAAAAAAAAAAAAAAAAAAAAAAAAAAAAAAACTTTTATAAATTTTCCGACTATATATTAAGAAAAAGAGTAGATTTCACCGTAATTTCTTTACAGCTAACTGATCATCTTGCCAAATATCCATTTAATATTAAAAATTATTATTATTATTGTTATAAATTTAGCCAGAGAATAAATTCTAAGACTAAAGTCTTAAAAGCACTAGCATCTAGGGCTTTCGGCTTTTATTAAAAACTCTACCGCACTTGAGGTTTGAACCCACGACTATTGAGTTGCTAGTCGAGACTCTTGCCTACTCGGCCACTCAGGCGGATAATATAGAAAATTGATTATAACTTTTCCATGTAATTGATTTCAATATAAAAATTGTGATCCCGTTATTCATAATGCAATAAAAATTAATCTCATCTCATAAAAAATTGTAAAAAGCAAAAAAAAATATTGAAATCATTCATGATCTCAGTTAAGCGTTACCAACAGACAGGCATCGACAACTTTTTTGCTTTGCCTTGACTGCGTTAGAGCGAAAAGTGTCGGTTAATTTCGGGTAATTAACTGGCGTCGCCTTGCACAAAATATTCTTTACCAAAACTTCAAACTCAAAAGTATAGTTTCCTTTTATTCTACGTTTATGATATCATATACGCAGCGCTCATACCCACGGATCATTACGTGCATGCCGTCTACTTACGAAGTACGGTCATGGAAAAAAAAAATTATTTTTAATCACAAAGTTGTTTTTTATCTAACATAAGTATAACTGATGTGAGCCACGCCGCCAGATGAAGCACTCGCGTGTAAGCCACCCGTGGTACACGCCGCCAGATAATGCATTCGCTTGTGAGCCACCGGTGGTACACGCCGCCAGGTAAAGCATTCGCTTGTGAGCCACCGGTGGTACACGCCGTCTTTAACGTGTTAAACGTTATAACCTATTGGCCATACCTCTGCTTAGCCTCTGCTTAACACAATGCTTTCAAAGTTCATTTAATATCAGTACGTACCGTGTACTCTCCATATATCATTGCATAAATTTAATGCATTCTAATGCATAACTAACGGTAATGGATATCATGAGGGATTTTAATAACGAAATCATCGAAAATATTTATTATATACGTAAAATGACTTTCGTGACTTTAGATTTTTATCGGTCTTATCGGTTAATTATGATTAAGTTCATCCGACTGCATTGTGAGTAGCGTAGAGTAGCGTAGGTTTTATTTACAATTTTTAGGCGATTTATTTACAAATTCTCTACAGGAATTCCTTCTTCTTTTGGTCTTTTTTCCGTTCGAATATTAGTATTCGATTCTCTTGCTTCCACAGCAAGTTATTACTATCCTAACTTCATTCGGGCATTTTTGTTCCCTCACCTAATTAAAGGCGAAATTTTCGTAACTTGGCAACGTACCTGGATTGTTGTATTTAAAGCCAACATGGAATTTTTCTCCATTACTCACTTGAATGAATGAATGAATAATAATGTGTATTACCTGCCTATATGTAGTATACATGGGTAGGGTGCATATACTCGTACATATCGTAAAGTGAATTTTTCGATTTATTTTATTACGCTTGACTAAGGTTAAATATATATTAATAGTGATGATGATGATGATGATGATGATGATGATGATGATCTGTTTTCATATATTTATTTTATATTATGATATTTAGCATCTGAGATGAAATTCCATAACATTTCCCCCATATTCGTCATTGGCTTGACCACATTTAAAAAAAGAGATATATATATATATATCTTTTATATATATATATATATATATGAATATGTTGTATTGCATATGATATTGTACGCGATTATTTGAACGAAAATTTTTATAAATAAAATTTTTAAAAATGATTTAACCATTTTTCTCGCTTTATTCGCTTTTATTATTTTGCAGTTTACCAGTATTGAGACGCCCGGTTATGTTGGCTTCGCTAATCTGCCTAATCAAGTGCATCGTAAATCGGTGAAAAAAGGTTTCGAATTTACTTTAATGGTTGTAGGAGAATCAGGTTTAGGTAAATCGACGCTGGTCAATAGTCTATTTTTAACAGACTTATATCCGGAACGTATTATACCGGATGCTATTGAAAAACAAAAGCAAACCGTAAAATTGGAGGCTTCCACGGTAGAAATTGAAGAGCGTGGTGTTAAATTGAGACTGACCGTAGTAGATACACCGGGTTTTGGCGATGCCATCGATAATTCGGATAGTTTTAGTGCCATACTCGAATACATTGATGAACAATATGAACGTTTCTTACGCGATGAGAGCGGTTTAAATCGACGCAATATTGTCGATAATCGTATACACTGTTGTTTCTATTTCATATCACCTTTTGGTCATGGGTAAGTGCAATATTAAAAATTTGTTTAACATTCATACCATCTTTTTGTGTATTCTAAAGCCTTAAACCCTTGGATGTGGAGTTTATGAAAAAATTACATTCCAAAGTGAACATTGTGCCGGTTATTGCCAAAGCCGATTGCCTAACAAAAAAAGAGATTCTGCGTTTGAAGTGTCGTATCATGCAAGAAATTGAGGATCACGGCATTAAAATATATCCGTTGCCCGATTGTGATTCGGATGAAGATGAAGATTATAAAGAACAAGTTAAACAATTAAAGGCGGCTGTACCCTTCGCTGTATGCGGTGCTAATACTCTGTTAGAGGTAAAGGGGAAAAAAGTTAGGGGCCGTTTATATCCTTGGGGTGTAGTTGAAGTAGAAAATCCTGAACATTGTGATTTCATTAAGTTACGTACAATGCTAATGTAAGTCCGCCAAATTTGCGAGAATGCGGAATATTAAAAATCAACTTCATATGAGTTAATTGAACTTTTTTTTTTTCAATTTCTAGCACCCATATGCAGGACTTGCAGGAAGTTACGCAGGAGGTACACTATGAAAATTATCGTTCTGATCGTTTAGCAAAGGGTATTAAAAGTAAGGAGAATGGGCTTAAACCGGAACGTGATTCGATAGTACCCGCTCAGATTGTTGCCAATAGCGTTTTAACGGAAAAAGATCGCATATTGCAAGAAAAAGAGGCTGAACTGATGCGCATGCAAGAGATGTTGGCTCAAATGCAGGCCCAAATGCAGGCACAACAATAGAGTAAACTTTCACCCATCATCTTTCAGTTCAGCTTAAAAAAAAAAAAAAAAAAAAAAAAAATTGGTGCCGAATTTTTCATTTTAACAAAAATATTGTATTTTTCGCGTTTATTTTAATATTCTCCTTATTTTAGGCTTATTTTACACTTCTTTTATTTTATACTGCACAATCGGAAAGGATTATGTAGAGCGAAAAAAATTGTTTAAGAACATTTTTTTTTGAAAAATCTACATCATCCTATATCTGCAATATTTTTTTTATTTTTTTTATTTTTTTTTTGTCCGAAAATCCAATTCTGCATATTTTGCAACATTTGATATGAAATAAATCGAAAGTCATTTGATTTTTTGAAATTTTTGTAAAAACATACATATGTACACTACTACAATTATGATATGAACGAATATCCGGCAATTATTGAATGAAAACACGTCCCGCTTTCCTATAGTCATTCAATACGAAAACGAAACGTAAAGAATGACACAATAATTAAAGCCCTCCTTAAAAATTAATTATACAATTTTAATTTGTAATCTTATACAAAAAAAAGGCTTTGATTAGACTTTCATATAAATAAGTAATAGATGCACTCAAAAAGTATGTAATACGTATATTTGTGTTTATATTTTCGGCTCTTGATTTCATTTCCCTTGTCTTTATATAGTAATTCTCTCAATCTTAAGTAATTTCAATAATTAATAATAGTTACTATATATAAAAAAAAAAAAAGAAAAAGAAACAAAAAAAAAAAAAAAAAATAATTTAAAAAAATATAAAGGCTTTTTATACTTAAAATGTTAAGATTTTTTTTTTTTTTTTTTTAACTTTTTTAGATAACTTGTTGACAAAATTTCTATTTATACTAGGGTTAGATTTCAGTCTGGATGATGGTGTTGCTTGTTTTCGTGTTAGCGGTAAATCGTATGCACTTACGTCTAAAAATGATGATCGCTTTAAAGAATTTGATAAATAGCATCTGTTGCGTCAATATGCTTTCTGAATACATTTTCTTTCAAGTATTTGGCCGGCGGATAAAAGATTCGTCTTGTTATTGCGTGTAATCTTGTTTGGTGGCAGTTCTAGCAAGGGACCAAAAGGAATCGTGTTTTTTTCAAACGTCTCGAAAAGAATGCATCTTGTTCAAAAATGTTGTGATGATGGAATAAGAAAAAGGCTTTACGCATACTGTTACTTTCTCTTGTTTCCATGATGCTGCTAACATCTTGACCTTATTCCCATCTAATCCATTCTGCTTTGAATATAATGCCTTTCAACATTTACAGCAGTCTTCCAAATATCGACTTCATGCGGCTGCATTGATCGCTACCTATACTGTGCTTTTGCTTGGCAGACAGCAACTGAAGATATAAAACAAAACGCTGCAAAGGAATCATTAGAAAACAATTAAAACTTCAAAAAATACCAAAAAGTAGACCTCGTTGTCATTTTCTTTCAGGAGAAACCTTATTTATCGACATAAAGCAAAATATACTGGTTTATCAATGGGGAGATCCTATAACATAAACGTATAGCAATGTTTAAAAACAAGTAAGTATTAATTTTTTATTATTATTATTATTATTATTATAATTTTAGACTAATGAAATAAATTCTTAGACTAAAAAAAGACATTGAGCACTAGCAACACAGTCTGTCGACTCTATTAATTTTTTAAAAGCCTATCAAAACTAAAGAAATACCCTGACACAATCTTGCATGTAATAAAATATTAAAATTGCGTGACATATATATAAAATTTCACAATCAATAATGTTGGTTAACCACATGTGCTGTTGGGCAAATAAAAAGAAGAAGAAGAAGAACTGATTTACTAGGCATTATGAAATACATGCACGGCAAGCGGTTCGGGAAATTTGGCAACCATCTCAAAAGTGAGATTTGAAATAATGTAATATGTCATACAAACTTTGCAATAATTCTAATCAAAACTTGCTTATGAAAAGTTTTAAAATGACGTATGGCTCGTATGAGAGAGTACGCGTAGTGTGTTCTTATAATTTATTTTTATTCATAAATTTATATTTACTTTTGCATTACATTCCCCGTTCGACTTTTTGGCAAAGCAAACCATAAAAAACAGTAAACACGCAAATGTAATAACATCTGATTGATTTTGTTTGTACATATTATTTGAGTTGCAAGACTCGTCACGTAAAAAGAATTTTTTTAAGTGAAAATTTCGAAAAGTTCCCATAAAGAGTTCAGTTGTGTAATTCGAACGATAGAAAATTAAAGTGAAATAAAATGGCAATATGATGAAGATCATGTTAACGATAACGCAATCCTTTCAGTTTTTGTTTTTTTTTGTTTTTTTTTTTTCTCTGATTATAAATAAAGTGTGAAAACGTGAAACGTGTGAAATAGCATGCACAATTAATAACGTACATATATAACTATATATGTGTACTTATATGTGGATATATATATATATATATATATATGTTTATTTACATGTGATATTTATGGATTATTTATGGATTATCTAGGATTCTTATTGTTTTTTTTTATTTTACAATTACAAGCCTGCGAGCATACTTTTAAAGTTTTAAGATATTTCCTGGAATAAAAGTCAAAATATCGCATACAAAAATGGCAAAAGACGAAGAAGACGATTTATTACCAGACAAAGATGCCGCTAAAGGTTTTTATGCCAAATATGAACCCAAAGAAATACTGGGAAGGTGAGTTCAGTTGATAATTTAAAAAAAAATTTAAAATTATTGCGTTTGCTTATAATTCCGTCCCGGCTGTTTCTCGACAAGAGACCTGAAATTTGTTTAGATATGTGCTCGAAACGGAAACAATAATTTCGATTAGCGAGACAATTGTGGAGATTTGTATTTAAATACGTTTCCCGCTCTACTCGAACAGATATAGATTATTTCGATAAAATCAAGCGATTAGTCAACACTTTCCGTCATCTGGCCGCTAGAGAAATTCGACTTAGGCCCTATACTGACCAATTTAGACTTTCCAAAAGCATTTAGGTAAACATGAAATAGTAAATAAGGTTGAATTTCGCGTGCACCCTATACAACCCCGCTGCAGACTTATGCATTGTCCATAGCCCTTTTAGCCTTTTTCGTGTTTGGTTTTCTTTTCTAATTGCTCGAAGAGTTTTGAAATTTTCTCGAATATGTATGATTCTTATGATTGTTTTTTTTTTTTTTTTGTTATTGTTTCCATCATTTGATTGTTCATTTTTTTATTATTTGTTCTCAAAGTTCAGACTGGCTTTCCTATCTGCCCACATGCTCTATAAAAAATTTTATTTTCAGTCTGTTTGCATTTGTTATCTCTGTTGTTGAAACTAATCATCATATGCGATTGTAACCATTCTTTGATTTCCATTTACACGCATTAGACAAACAGTATGTAAAAGGAAAGAAAAAAAAAATCTTTTTGGATAGATAGAAAAAAAAAAATCAATTTGAATTTTTTTTTTTTTTTTTTATGGTAACTTAAACCCATCGTAATGGGTCCATTAGGTTTGTCAAACATTTCTAATGTGCGAAGACGCGCCTGGAATATTCCATAAAATCTATGTTGGAAGGACTGAAATTTCGGGTTTGCGAGCCGTGGAAATAAACTCAATGACTTTTAAACTATGTTCATTCGGTTATGTAAGCTTAACTTCACGGTGCCCGATGGCACCCGAGTTAATTTGATAAGTGATAAGTGTCGCTCCATAGAGTAGAACAATTCCCATTGAAGGGACCTATGCTACTCGTGATGTTCGAAATAAAAAAGCAAATGATAGTCAATTTTCTCGCAACTTGGTCAGTGTAGAAGATTATCGACCACAGCCTCCACGATACGGCCCGAAAGACCATACCTGCCAGTCAGGCAAACAGGCATCCATCGTGGTGGTTAGATGACAAGTGTGTCATTATTCCAGAAGCTATCGTACTTCGGGCAAGCTGACCTCTGTGAATGCCCACATCTTCGTGATTTGTTCTTCCGACATGCTATACAGTTTTGAGTGCGATCGTACTGTGCGAAGCAACACTTGCGTTTGGACCATGAGCACACGCCGGAAAGCCATCGAGCACACTATGCATTTCTCGAGGAAATAATGCTTTTGACGACCTCATCACGTAGCACAGACTCAACTGTGCACTATCACTTCCCAGTATTTTTTGCACTTGAGTACTTTGGTGACCGTCAACCATTGTTTGCGCGTGTAGCTGAGCAGCTCTAATTAAATAAGAGCTTTAAAGCAAGCAGTTACCATTTATAGGGACCACCACGCCACGGTAAGAGTTTCAGTACGTCAATGGTGTTCAGAAGATTCTCATAGTTACGTTCTGTGGCTGTCAGAAAATTTAGTTTTTTTTTTGATTTGTTGGAACAAGTACTCTTTTTTTGATCCAAATTTTCAAAGAGATACTTTGATTTACTTTTAAAACCTTCTCGGAGTGTCCCCAAAAAGATAATCCTAATATTACTTACGCGTGTTGACTAAAAAATGTTCAACGTGAACACGAAGTTCTAGTGTTGAACCTTAATAAAATTGGTTGATTATATATTGATCATAGTAATAAAAAAAAAAAAAAAAAAAAAAAAAAAAAAATCAAAATTAGTATACAGTGAAAATTCAGTTCGTAAGTACAACGTGTAACTGTCAACTTCTGATTACGATGTTCCCCTAATTGTATTTTGTTACTATTCGTTTCATATAAATCGTGTTATTTCAGACACAGAAACAAAATATCCGTGTTAAAAAAGAGTTAAGTGTATTTACTTTTTTATATTTTCAAAATAACCGTGTAAAAAAAGAGTTAGTGTATGTAATTCATTTTCTTTGTTCTTTCGTTTAAAAATTTACGTATCCCTGGCGTAAGGAACGGCTTTATGCAGGGCTCCGAAGTATCTGAACGATGTAGTTGGAAGCGATTAACTGTTTCTCTTTTTGCAAAAAAAATGAATTCTATTTCCGTACACATATATATATGTATATTTTCAGATTACACCTGCATCAGCCCTACACTTTACAGGCAAATCATAAGAAGATAAGATTTTTAAATTCATCGCAAACGCTATAAAATGATTATTAAATGTTTCTAACGTAACGAAATATACATTGAGGATTCCATATAGTACATAAACTCGTGATTAATTTGGACATTGGAATTGGATATGTGATATCCATTTGTCTGTCAACTTATTGAAATTATTGAACTTAGAAGTATGACTTCAAAGGATATCTAAAAGGCAGGAAGCTTGAAAGCCAATAAAATGATGCCGCTTATAATAGATCGAAAATGATCTTTTCCCTTTAATGTAATTGTTAAGGAAAAAAAAAAAAAAAAATAGAAAGTACGATGACCAAAGGAATGAGGGAAATATCTTTAGTTGTGTGTTGCCTAAACGAATATAAATATTAGTAAGGACATATGGACACATCTTTATTCTATTTGCTTATTTAAAAATAGCTAAGAATGTTTATTAAGATATTTTTTTTTTTTTTTTTTTTTTTCATTTGTCCAAGTAATGTCGTTGGTGTTGTCGAGTCGAGAACGAAAATAGTATATACCTTGATTTATATTTATAGTAGTGTAGTAGACGCAATCAATCAATTTCTATTTATCTTTGCATCAGTTCAGTTTCTAGTTCAATGCATATAGTTGCAGTTATTTGTTTATTTTCAGCCGCCTATATATATTATTGCGCCATTATACTTTGTCTCTTATCTACTTATTTACATAAATATGTTTGTTTATATTTATATTATATATATATATATATATGTTTGTGTGTGACAATGTCGATCGTATATGGTATGATTTCGTAACCTGTTATTGTTAGCTGTCAGACAAGTGGATGGACGGTATGCGAGCCAACCAAATTCATTTGAAATTGATCGAGCCCCAGTCAAGCCCCTTCTCACAAAACAACGACAACAATATTCACATGAATATAAAAATGATATATATATACTTACAATCATATTTGCCTAAGTAAAAAAACACTAATGCAATATTTTAGTTATTTTTACATACACAGTGCACACCATTACAATCATTTGTGCATGCGATCGACGACTGACTTACATTTTGCATAAAACACGTGTAAATTTAATTAGATTTGATTGATGATTTTCAGTTTTCTTTACATTTTACCGAGTATCTGGACTGGCCAAGTAAGTCGATTATGAAGCGTTTTTTATTGGGCCAAACGATCCGTATCTCTATGCAATCGGTATGCAATAAATAATTTCTGTAACTTCTTCGGTAAAATTCAATTTAATATCAAAAGTACACTTGTTACTTGTTACTTGTTAATCGAAATATTCACTCACCTTTATCTATGGATGTTTGCCTTTTACCAGATAGCTTCAGGATGCCATTATTGCGGAAAGTTTGTGGTTGCGAGGTGAAATGTTTCTTTATTTATTTATTTGTTTAACTTTTAGCAGCTACATAACCTACACTATAACTAAAGAGTGATATCAACTCTTGAGCAATATACGCATCACAAATTCACTTTTATTCGAATAATAGAATAAGTGATAATGATAATGAGTTTCATTAAATTGTTCCCAGTGTACAGTGAGTACTCGTGAAGGGATATTCAGTTCAATGTTACCGTAAGGGTACGTAGCATCTACACGCTCTACGCCGAATTGTAAAGTCAAGGTCATTCAACAGGAATGGGGAAACTATTTCGCCATTAATACGTTTACTCATGAAAGTTACCGCAAGCAAGAGCAGCTAGCCTGCTCTTCTCTAGTCAGCATAGGTCAATTAGCGAAGAAATGTATTCTTATCCTAATCCACGAAGGGCAGATGGACGAAATGATTTCTGAACAGATTCGTCCAACTGCTAGATCAAACAACTGAAAAATACCCAACGATGGGCCTAGCTAGGGACATAAAGGTCGTCAAATTTCTTAGCCCAACTTTTCATGGAGCTAAGAGTTGCTTTAACTTGATTAACCACTGATGGCACTTGAAGATTGAATCTCGTTATAAGAATCTCGTTAGACATCGGAAGGGTTCTGCTAAAAGACATTGCTTTGCGCTTGCTAACGTTCAAGGACACCCCATTTACTTTGCGTCACTTTCGTAGAGAGAACAAACAAAATTGAAGCATACCGAAGCTCTTTACATTTTCGGAGCAGTGGAATAGCTTTACGTCGTCTGCATACACGAGGATACTTAACAGGATGCTTAATCGCCAATGAAAGATTATTTATTTATAGCAGGAACCGGATTGGACCCAGGCGACTGCTCTGGGTTATATTGGACAGCAATCACTTTACCGACCCGTCACTATTGATCTATTTTTGAACATCTTCATTTACCTATGCAGATCTGCTGATCGGCTAAATATATCTGCATCGGTGTGATCCGGGACTAATCTATAGCGGAGACCACTTTCGGGAATATGCTTTCATGAATGGATTTATTATGCATTTGGGAAGAGGTTACATTGTTACTGTTTAACTGAATCTGTTTACTTAGATTGCTTTCAATCACTTAAGGAGGATAGCAAACGATTTTGCTGCAATATATGTTGTAAATGTTGGATTCAAAATTTTCAAATATTCCTAATTTATTAATTATTGATGAACTTAGTACTATTTGCGCATACTATTCACCGATTATTTTATATATTTCTAGAGGTATAAGTTCGACGGTACGGCGATGTATTGAAAAGGAGACGGGCAAGGAATTTGCCGCTAAAATTATCGATTTAGGCGCTGCCACAGAAACTGGTGAAACGAATCCTTTACATATGTTGGAAGCAACAAGGCAAGAAATTTCAATACTTCGACAAGTCATGGGCCATCCGTATATAAGTAAAACTTTTTTTTTATTGAAATCTAATGCGATTCTTCTTCAACGATTCAATTTGCATTTTCAGTTGACCTGCAAGACGTTTTCGAATCGGATGCTTTTGTGTTTTTGGTGTTTGAACTTTGTCCAAAAGGCGAACTATTCGATTATCTTACATCGGTAGTTACCCTCTCGGAAAAGAAAACCCGAACTATAATGAGACAAATTTTTGAAGGCGTCGAGTACATACACTCAAAAAATATTGTGCATAGAGACTTGAAACCTGAAAATATTTTATTAGATGGTAATCATAATGTCAAAATTACGGATTTCGGGTTTGCTCGGCAGCTAAAAGATGGGGAAAAATTAACAGGCAAGCCTTTCCAGATCCATCAAAAATTCAATGAAAAATTCACGTACTTTTTTTTTTTTTGATTTAGATTTGTGTGGCACTCCTGGCTATTTAGCTCCAGAAACATTAAAATGTAACATGTTTGAGGGTTCGCCCGGCTATAGCCAAGAAGTAGACATGTATGGTTTTAAATGTTTTTTTTTTTTTTTTCTTTTTTTCAACTTTATAAATTTCTTTTTCTTTTAATTTTGTTGTTGTACTTTTTTGATTGCAGCTGGGCTTGCGGTGTTATTATGTTTACTCTGCTGGTCGGTTGTCCACCCTTTTGGCATCGAAAACAAATGGTTATGTTACGTAACATTATGGAGGGTAAATACAGTTTCACGTCACCTGAGTGGGCCGATATTTCAGGTACGGACAAATTATTTCTAAAATCATTAAGTCTTCATAATAATGATCAATATTTAAACAAAGACGAAGAAAGAATTGAATCCATTTCAGAATATTTCCTAATTACCAATGATTCTAAGACAATGTTTTTTTTTATTTTTTTTTTAACTCTTGACGATAGATAAATTTAAACTGACCAACTGGTTAACATTTGTAAGCTATAAAAAATATTTTCTATAAAAGCAGATGTTTCTTAAAGCAAGACTTTTTGATTCACACATATACATATATCGCGATCAGTTACAACGCAAGTACACCTCACTTTAGTTCAGAACTTCATGTATATTCAATCAAGCGATGAGTGTGGATATATAATATAAATTCAGCTCATTTAGCGAACTTTCTGCTTTTATTAATAAAAAAATATTTCAAGGTCGAAACAGGAAAACTTCAAACCGAGCCATATCAAGCGATTAATGATTGTTACGCTTCGAGTTTTTAAGCGAAACGCAGTTGCAATATTGAGCTTTTTCGGTACCAGATGTGCTCGCCTTTCCAACAAAAACATATAAAGCTTATAGAACAACTATCGATCGGGTATCTTTTTAATATTTTTCTTTGTTTTAAGAAAGTTTTCCAATAAGAAACGAATAAGACGGCCAATAAGAAAATTATATTCGGTCATGACCGAATATCTTACACGCATCACTGTTGTCCTAAAAAAAGACGAAAAAAAAAGGAAAACCAACTACATATTCTTACTCTTTTAATATCGAATGAAAGCGAGTGTATTTTCCTTCTTTTTTTTTTTAGAATAAAAGTGAAGCAAACTTGTTCGCAGTTGTTTCTAGCATAGGCGTGAGGGCACAGTAGACATGCCCTATGGTCGGTGGAAAATCGAATTTAGAAATTATGTGAACTTTTTTGTGGGCGACCAATTGTTGTGCTCACATTAAGCAAAATATTTTGCAATTCGTGTTGTGTGTTCGCGTGGATATGAAATAAAAAATACTTCGTCCTATAACATAATCTTGACTTTTTTCTTTTTTTTTTTTATAATTGGTTTACTGTTTTGTTATTGCGTTTTCTTTATTTGAATAATTTGGACTATTCGAGCCGACCGTTTGTTTTTTTTCCAAAAAACTTAAAAAAACTGGGTTTTTTTTTTCAATAGAAATTTAAATTTTTTCTACCTTCCGTTTTAGAGGATCCCAAAGATTTAATACGTAAATGCTTAGTCGTTGATCCTATCAAAAGAATAACTGTACAGGAGGTATTGCGTCATCCTTTTTTTAATCAAATGGTAAGTTTACTTCCAAATCGCATTCAATGCACGACCATATAACATAATACATTGAAAGGGCAATTTTTTAAAATTATTTTTAATATTAATTTTAAGATGCGATTAGGGAGCGAAAAACTTGAAGACAAACGCACAAACAAACAAATATAAATAAAGGCACACAC